ATAGAAACAAAAATCAAATTGAAAATTGAATAAAATAATATTAAAAAAAATAAAATAAATGTCTGGTACATTTATGCTGATCAGAACATTGCATAAGTCCAGTAAGACGACTAATTAACCGTCATCGCAAATTTCGTCAAAATTGAAAGCGCGATTTTTGGAAATTTGTTTTCTTGAAGACAGGATCAAAAAGCGCGACCGAGGGCGTCGTGATAAACGGTGCGTATCGGTTTTGTCGTTGAACGCCAACGATAATTTTTGATTTAGTTCTTTACCTCTTGAAAGGTTCACTTTAATTGTTTCTACTCTTCCTTATTTATAAACACAAATTAATTTTTGCAGGAGTTCAAATTCTGGATATCCAAGTCCACTTGGTGGTGTTTGTCTTGTCGCAAACCGTACATTTCGCCGTATTTTATAACCCATGGGTTACCACTAAAACAAGATTTATTTGAACTGAATCGAGTTAAAATTTCTCATCATCCGTTTTGCCTCTTCTTCCTCTAAGAAAGGCCTTGTTCCATTTGCATCGTCTATCCTATTTCCTCCATTCAGCAGAACAGCCGAGGAATCAGAAAAAGCACTGATTAATCAGAGACCTTTTTTTCCCCAGAGACAAAGGATTTATTTAAGTTCCAGTCGGCTCGGTACGGAAGTCTGCCCAGACTTTTTGAGGATGCCACGAGGGCATGGTCGAACACGATTTACCACTTTTCAGGAATTTAACGGGGTTGGAAGTTTTTCCCAGTGGCATTGTTCCCTTTCTTCAATGCCGTTTGTACCGCTTTTCTTTCTTTTTATACTGTTTTTAATAAGTGTGAGATTCAAGAAAAGTCAGATGCATACAATTACTATGACTCTTCAACAACTTGAGTCACGGATTTTTTAAAAAGTAAAAAAAAATCCTACTTCCTCTCTCTTGCCTCTTCTCAAAACTGGCACGGTCGTTTTCTTTTTGACCGCATTGGGCATGGAATAATCACAGGGTCGGCAACAGGTAAGGATCGTGCGTTTGTATAAAATCGCTCTTCATCATGGGACGCCCTTGCGGCTTGTGGAGGGCACATTACTTCCATCTTTTCTGGAACTAACCGAAATTATGTATATCTGCATTATCTCAAAGTACGACAGTTGGGACTTAATAAGTAAATAAAGTTATCTTTTCTTCTCCTTTTTCAAAAGGGGTTCGATACGTTCTGACATAATGAACTTATTATTCCAGCTTAAAAGCTGAGACCCCCATTAGATCGTCATACCTGTGAGAGGTAAAGTACAATGCGGACACAAATTATAAAACCTGGAGTTCCACTAGACAGCCTTTTCTACATCTAGTTTACATGACTAAGCAGAAAAAGACGATAACCTCGTTAAACTTGGTCATTTTATTCAATTCATTAAATTCACTAATTTCGTGGTCCGCTTGTCCAATTAATATATTACCAGTTATCTCAACTAAAAACCTTAATTACTTGTTCATTTTGTTTATGACCTGGCAATAACGCCTACGTTTCAAGGAGCGAAGATATACAAGGTAAATTATCGCAAAATTGAAGAATCGTTGGATAATCGGAAGATTAAGGTCTTAATAAAGCACTCGTCTAAGTCAAGCCTAGTGAACTCAGCAAAAAAAAAAAAAAAATCATTTCCTTTTCCCAGTAATAAGGTCGCTTGTACATATCATGGCCTCATCAAGTACGAAAAACCCACCTGGGATATAGCCTCAGTTGTGCATAAAACAAGATTACATACTAATAGCATTTCTTGTTAGACTTGTTATACCTCTGGACACTAATCTATTGTTGAATTAAAAACTTTGGAAGTATGGATCTTTTCACCTGATGTGTATATATGTGTGTTCACCTTTGCGATATAGACTAAAGAAAACGACGGACTATGCACAATCGCATAACAAGACTAATAATTCTGCATGAGAGAACTACTCCATCTACTGACTTGAACATCTCCGTGAAAAACGTCATCTCCAACAATCCGACAGCTCATACCTCAAACTTGACAACGGTCATGCTAAAAGTAAGTAGTGACAGTGATAAAATTCCTCAAATTTAGTGCATGGAACATCACTGAACGTTCTTCATGCCTCGTGTCAAATATGTAAGTTAAAATAGTCTCAGATGTGTGGAAACTATGACGGTTACTCACTAAAACGTTCTATTCTACGAGTACTGTTAACCTAATAAAAAAACCGGTGTATTGATGTTTCGAACTTATGACTTTTCTCTCCTCACGGTGTTTGTCTTCAGCGATACATAGCTAAAAATGCAGGTTAAACAGAAACTCCTTGATAAATGAGAAGTAGTACCATTCACTTGAGAATAGCCATCATGAAGTTCATTATTCTGGTCTTTATCACCAACAACTAGGCTCAATTATTTGCTATGAGAGGCATTGACAACCCGCTACTATCAAGAGACCAGAAGAGGTATATAAACATAGACTGATTTTCACAATGAGCAACGCCAACAATGCTATGTAGTTGCAGTGCTTCGAAAATTTAGTTGATGGACCACAACTGACTGTCCCACGACAAAGATGATTAGATAAAAATACAAAAAAATATAATTATCTCCAAAGGAAAATGTAAAACAGGGTAGCGTTCCCTGAAAGGCATTTCTGCCGAGAGTGGACGCTTTTTGTGCCGATCTTGCTGAATCGAAGACACGCCTAACTGGACCTCCGGAGGACAAAAGGGCCAGACGACAAAAGGGGCGTTCAACGACAAAACCGATACGCAACGTTTATCGGGACGCCCTCGGTCGCGCTTTTTGACCTGTCTTCGAGAAAACAAATTTCCAAAACTCGCGCTTGTAATTTTGACGAAATTTGAGATGACTTGTGTTATAGAGTTTGACAAATGACCAATGAAACGATGTTGGTAAAAAAAAGTTAGATAATTCTCATCTTATTAAGTTTCTCCTTAGGTTTACTCGGTTTTCCTGCCTATTTTTAGCGCATTTGCTAAATAAAGTTAAGCAACCTGCATAATATAAATAGTTCGGTTAATTAATCGTCATACTAGACTTATGAATGCTGGTCAGCATAAATGTACCAACGTTTAGTTTTTTTAAATATTATTTTATTCAATTTTCAATTTGACTTTTGTTTCTATGGGTAAAAGTTCAGAATGGAATTAAACTTATACGCAAGTTGGGACATTGTAGCAATTTTTGTCTAAATAAAATAGCGTCTACACAAGGCAATGAAAAGTCTTGACATCTAAAAAGGACAGAATGAGCAAAAGCGAATTAGAAAAAAATAATAATAACGGGACGGCCTGAGAAGCTTTTCGCATCTTATTCGCTAAGCACAAGTACGCTAAAAAGCCAAAACTAGTCCGCCGCTTTTTTCCGAGACTGTGCTACCATCGTGTGTTATGGGGTACAAAGGCAACCCGTCAAATTTAACAAAGTGGGCCAAAGTGTGACAAAATTTCAGGGGTGGACTGTGAAGATTTCAAAATCGTCGGGTCTGAAGTCAGCTTAAGACAGCTTAACCATTTACATTAGAAAGTTTCTCCGTTATAGATATCACCGCTGTAGAAATTAAATTCAGAGGATAGGTTTGACAACGAGTTGGACGAGCACGTAAGAGGAAACTGAAGTCTTGACGTAGGGCTATCACAGAAGATTGAAAAAAAATTTACACAATTTCAAATAATGAAGTGACTGGTGCCTTAAAAGTAGAAAAAAAAATCAAGCGAAACAGTTTACTATTTTGAGATTTTATCGTTGATCGATACTGATCACATGAATTGGGATTGATATGGACCAATTCAAGCCTACGAGTCACACATTGTCGAATATCATAATTTCTTGTTTGAAATTCAGAGGGTGTTTAAAAAAATTTTAAACATCGCGCAAAGAATTTGGAAATTGTGATGCTATCAAATCAAATTTGGTCTGCCTCCAGCTATCAATATTAACGGCGTACAAAACAAAAAGACAACGCGATTACCTTCAGATCTAAACAACTTTTTGAGTAAGCCTGTCGAAATTTGTCGAACATCGTAGTTAGACAAATGTTTAATTATTAAATAATAAAAATATTTATTTATAGTGGTTGGGTTCGCGTTGAAACCATCTTCGGATACTGTCTCACAGTGACATCGCATTCTGTCCTTAGGGAAAATTTAATAAAATTGCAGATTGTTATGTTTTAATAAGTGGCCTGCTATTATAGCACAGTTTTGTTATTCAGGGTATTTTTTAACTTTAACTTTTTTCAAAGATGAACAAATCGATCAAGGAAAAACTTAAACTTAAACGGATTTAAAACGGAACTTAAAAGGATTTAAATGGAGTACGTTTTCGGAAAATTGCTGGTCTCTAGGTTTGGAAATAGTAGTTTAGAAACACCGTAGTAAATTTTTCAACTTTGAAAAAAAAAATTTTTTTTCAGTTTTCGCTACTAAAAACGCTTATTTCACTAACGTTTAAAAGTTTATTATTAATCACATCTTAAAGGAAATTTAACGTACTTTTCAATGGTTTCAACGTATTTGTCCAAAACCTTTTAGTTTTGGAGTTATCATTGTTTGTTTGAAACAAGGTCGTGAAATCTTAAAAAATCAGAAAAAGTGAAATAACTCCGAAACTGTTGAGATTCGGACCATAGTTAATTAGGACTTTAGGTCCCGTTTTGAATGTAGAATATACTGGCAAAGTTTGTAATACGAGTAGCTGAACAGCCTGTATGTACATTTTATCAAATATTTTGTACTTAGTTTGTTTATATTCTGTGTGGTGAATTCCATTGGAAAGTATAAATCGCGAGAGACAATTTTTAAAAGACGGGCTTTGCCAGTTTGTTGTCACCGTCTTAAGACCCGGAGGCCTTCTTGGCTGGCAGAAAGCATTTTACAAAAAANAAAAAAAAAAAAAAAAAAAAAAAAAAAAAAAAAAAAAAAAAGACTGTCAGAAAATTTCAAATGCGAAATTACAGATCGGATTAAACGGATCGTAAATATAAATTACAAGACTTACATGTTGTCCGTGCTCATCGTTAGTCCGTACGAGAATCCGTTTGCGTACAAGTGCGAGGCTGGCGGCCGACTGTCGGGTATCGGGGCTTGGCGGAGGGGTGCGACAAAGCATAGCCATTCGGTCCCACTCTTCGGACGCCTTCTCCCGTCCTCTCGAGCTCTCTCCTCAATTAAAGACAATTTCTCGGCCAATTGACACACCGGAATTAGTGCGGTCAATTCAGCTCGTTCCCTACACCCACAAGGAAGCCGTGGTTTGTACACGACGAAGGTCGCCTCCTGCAACCAGATAAATGAGTCCTTTTTATGCTAAAAATTTTTTTATGATAGAGAGAATGATGTTCACCAATTGTTCCGCAGTCACACGGAAAGAACACCCGTAGCTTTTTTTTGCAGTGGACTATTTGAGTCGTCTATTGCATTGTCCCAGACATAATTCCAAGCAAATTTCAATTTAGTGTCAATATTACTCCCAATTATGAGTATTCGCTATTTCCTTGGGTTTGACACCAAACTTCCAAATTTAAGTTTCCTGCAGAAATTTTGAACTTGCAGCATCTACTTATGCTACAACTTATACTATACGACCTAGATAGTAAATCAGCCTATGACAGCCAAAAAACAAAGATCATGTAGAGTAAACTTAACTGGATGAAAGCGGCAGTTTACCTAGGTCAATATGTTGTCTTCAATCAAATATATAATACAAAGTTATGTAAAGTTCTGACTTTTATTCAGTGGTGGATTTTTTGTTTAGTCTCCGGTTTTGAATTGCGACTTCTTTTAGAAGTCTGCAGGGTGGTGAACCTGTAGTTTGGTCCTTTCCGATGATTTTGGTCTTATACGTTCGTACTGAAATGTGACGACGAGTGGGTGCCGGTGTTGCCTTTGCAGGTCAACGTATTTGATGGAAATTTGAGTTTTAAGGTTTGTTCCAGTCGGTTCTATTCCTTCTTAATTCAACTTGTCCATTTTGGCATTGTTAAAAGTAATTTTAAGCTTGTTTGTATGGAGGATTCGTGGTGGTTTTGTATGGATTGAGTGCCACGTAAAATTTTTCGTCATTGTCCCTAAATGATCTTATTCTTCTATCTGTCTATTATTCTTCTTTCTCAGGATTCCAATGTTATTGAATGTTGTTTTGTACAATAGTTTCTCGTTCACATTTCGACTCGAAGGTATTTAAGTTGTGCAGTTTTTATACCTAAATTGTATCCCCTTTACCAATTTTGTGAATTTGGTCCAATCAATGCCTATTTTCGACGTCGTTCTGTTATTACGTCTTTGTCGCGTATTATGGTTTTTCATTGATTATGGTTCGTTTGTATTGTGTGATTACAGAACAAAACTTTTGCAATAGTCATTATTTTTGGCTCACGTGAACAACATATCTAAAATGAAGTTTGCCACATTTTTCCCAATTAAATCTTTAGTCTGCTTAGACTATTTTAAGCGATAAATTCAAATGGTAGACAATGGACGGTGTTGTTTAAATCAAGTTTTTAATCCGTGGTGTGAGTCATCGTCCTTCTAAGTTCTTTTTGTCGTTTTCACAGTTTTTGATATGATTAATTTTGTAAGGATATTGAAAAAGTTGATCGGCCGTCCAGTGCTGCCTATTCTCGCCCATTATTTTGGGCAGTGATGTAAGCAGAGTGGGACACCAAGACAGATCTTCCTCTGAAGATAGTGAAAAGTCGAATTGAGTTACAGACCAAAATAAGGATTTTCCACGTAGTCTCCGCCTCAAAGATGCATCCTAATCCATGACTTCTGGAATGCCTCAATGCTCAAGCAACTCCCTTTTTTTGCTGTTATATTAATGACTTTCCTAAATGCCTTTATGCCAATGATTCCTAAATTCACCTTTTCTTCCAAACTCCTGGCTTACAAACTGCAATTGTAAAAACTCAGGACTTAAACTCAATTGGTTCATAAATTCAACCTGGGGTGCTGAAAATGGACTTAACTGGAATGTAGAAAAGTCCTAGGCTATTGTGTTTGCATCCAGTTCCCTCCTCCATTTCTTACCTACTATCCTTCCATTTAGAATTAACATCCTATTTCCTTTTATCTCACTGTCAACAACCTTTGGATTGTCCTTAATCACATATTATCCTAGAATATTTTCTGATGCAGCTTTTCACCCTCCATCAGTCCCATCGTACCAGCCACTTTTTCCCCTTTAGTTTTAGTTAACTCCTAGTTTCCACTCTCTTCATTGTGAACTCACTGGGGAGCTTGAAGATAAGCTTAACGTCGAACGAAATATTCTGTAAATTTATCTTCGGCTCAGCAAAGGGTCCGATTGATCTGTACGACTGACTCGAAGTGTTTGTACCCTTCGTACCACAAGCAATACTTCCTTGGCTCCTTCCTCTATCAGATATCTTCCCATATATGAGCTCAACTTCAGATCCTCTGTACACTCCCACCCGTCTGACCTTTATCTCCCTAAACATACAACTATTGTGATGTCATACCTTTCTCATCTGTACCTACAATCTGTAGATTTCCTTTCCTTACTCTATCTGACGAGCCCTATCCCTCTCTTTGATTACCCCTTGTCTTTACAACTTAGCTTTATCTAGCACTGAAGATTTGTTTTAACTAGGGTATTCGAACCGTCGGGGTGCTGGTGCTTTAAAATAAAAAAAAACCATTATGTCAGTTTCGAATGCAGGGCCGCTGGATTCGAACCTGGGACCATTACCTTACAGTGATGAGCACAGTGAGAAGCCTAAAACTTGTGACCACCCCCTTGTTAGTTTAATTTCCAGAGTAGAGTATTTTTATTTTGTATATATATTTTTTTGTAGAATTCTTGCTTTCTAGATCTTGGCTTGAATCTTTGAAAATACTTTGTATTCATAATGAATTCAAAGGTCTTCCAAGTTTTATTTTTCATTTAATTACTAGGCAGTAGGCAGACCAAAATGATCAAATATGACCAAACTACAGGTTCATCATCCATCAACAGTAAATTTCACAAATAATCTTTCTCAACATAATTTTCAAAAATTTTCTTTAGGGAATTTATTTTTTGGACAAAAATGTGACTTACGAATTTCTTTCCAATTTTTGAAACCATTTTTTCTCAAAAGCACTCTTCTGAAAATTATAACATCCATATTCCATTTCAAACTTTTATCAACAACGCCATTGTGTTGTTCTATGTTCAATTGCTCTTGTTATTGTCTAAACAACTACTGAAATAAGTACATACTATTAGTTACAAATAAAATTAAGTTTCAACATATTTGAAAATGATGTTTCTACTTACTTCTCTCAAAGTTATTATGCAACCTTGGACATGTTCAAGAGGATATTGCCTTTTTTTCCTCTCTTAACAATCTCATTGCTCTTCAAGTCTAAGAATTGTATCTTTATTGTCAATTAAGCCTGTCATTTCTTTAAATGGATTAGTCCTGCTTCTTAAATAAGGTCACATAGATAGGTTTATTAAGGAAGTTCTAGTTGGCATAGTACAATTAACACTGGTGGCCTCTTTGCTTCAAAGGAATCTTCAGAAATCGACTCGAATTCAGTTAGATTGAGCCTTCGATTATTTAATATACGGCAATTAATTCAGCAACTAGGCTCAAACTGGCCACCGTTTCTAATTATACCTCGGCTGAGTTCAAGCGGTCTCCTTAATTGAATGTATGAATCATGCACAACATAAGGGAAATATAAACAAAGCTATATAAAATTGTCCTTTATTAAGACCAAAAATACAAAATAATGTTAGTACATGTATATATATTTGTATATAAAATAACATAAACTTACCATACTTGACCTAATAGTAGCCCCATGCTCAATTTTGTTTACAACCTCACTACTGTACAATAAAATAATATACCTTTGGTTATTTTTTCTGTAAATCTGAATGATTTAGTCTTAAATTTTATAAATACGAGTTTGTACCATTTCTCAATTTTTCAGGCACTTAGCAATTAAAATAGCAAATGAAATTAAGATTTTACATGAAAATATAAGGGAAATAGGAAACTAATTTTTTACCACTTACACAAATGTGATTTTTTCTTGCTCAATTTTTTTTAAATAATTGATTTTTATTTATTTTATTAACAGGCAGATGCCCACAACCAATAAATATACTTGTATTTAAACTATTGGGCTACTATTAATTCAAAAATATGGTATTTCTGCTCTAACAATAGAAATTTTTTTTTTCTTCCAAGGAAAAGGAATGTTAACACTAGTAGAACTTGTAAGAAAATCTAATTTATAAATTGTGGAAGACGTTGTTAAACTAATGAAGAAAAATTAAGGTAATATTAAACATTCAAACCGTATAAACTGATTGGATGTATAATCTAGAATGTAAAGTTTTTGATTTTCCTCCCATCGTTTAAAAATTCTGCAAATAAGCGTATTTTCAAAAATTCATCCATCACCAAAAGTTCCATGTCAATGGTTCCTTCTCTAATTTACTCGAGATGGTGAGAATTGTCAGTCTGTCTTTTAATTTGGCTATGTCCATTTATTTTTGTAATAAAAATTATTATTATATCTCAAATTGGATTATTCCTGATACAGTCCGTCGCTACAGTAAAAAGTTTCATCTTTGTTGACAGTGTTATAAAAAAACCTTTTGAGTCGCTTCAAATTTAATGATTCGACAATTTGTTTAGTTTATTAGAAGCCTTTAGCACTTTAATAAATAAATAAACTACAATAGGTTTATTTGGATAAAATAATAGTCAAATTGTTAGTATTACAATCTTCTTGGGGTAATCAGGCGCTGACTCAAGCAAAATCTAATTTCAGGAATGATTCCACAAACGGGCGTTAAAAAACATCCAATAAAATCTATAATAATGCAGTGATAACAGTGAATGTGAATAAATAAAAGAGATCTCCAACTGTGAAAGTTTGCACTGAATTTCTAAGTTCTAAAAATAACTCAGCCTTCATATCACAGATATTTAGTCTTTAACTAATCACAATGTATGCGTAGGTTATCACAAAGAAAAAACTGGCTGAAAACTAGTAATTAAATTGAAAATTTTCAAGAATATCTAAAAAAAATTTTTTGGTTAGCGAGTACAACCTTATGTTTTGAAGGCGCCTGCTTCGGCAGCACGGGCGATGAAGTTCTTAACAGTGACTTCATCAAGGGACGAAAAGCCTTTTGAAAGGACGACCTGGGTCATATGGATTAAAGCAAAATTAAAGCAAAAGTCCTCCAACTCCTGAAACGCCATGTAATAAAACAAAATAAGTGAAAGAAATTAAGTAAACCAAAGAGAATATAATTTATAGTAGATGATGGGGTTTGGTCTGCGAGTTGGCGAACTCATGTTGAACTGGCACACGGGCACTACTGGGTCTGTCTTCACTCGAGGGTTTTTTGTTTGAGTTATTCAAACGCGTTTTGGCATTACGCCATCTTCAGTAAAAAACTGAAAAAAAAAAAGATGGCGTAATGCCGAAACGCGTTTGAATAACTCAAACAAAAACCCTCGAGTGAAGACAGACCCAGTAGAGCCCGTGTGCCAGTTCAATAGAATATAATTTATTAAAAAATCAGGGAGAAGGCCAGTTTGTAAGAAACAAAAACTTATTTCCATCAAGCTTTCAAAGAATATATCCTTCATCAGCACTTTTTAATTATTATTAATAATTTCAAAGTACTGATGAAAAGATATATTCCTTGAATGTTTGATGGAAATAAGTTCTTGTTTCCTACAAACTGGCCTTCTCCCTGATTTTTTTTTTTTTTTTTTTTTTTAAATAAAAAATATAATATTAAAAGCTTATATCAATTTTATCAAGAGAATATACCTTGGCTTGAAACGTGATGGCATTGCTGTACAGCTCGGCGGCATTTTCGATATCGATCCCCTGTCTGATCACCTCCTCGCACAGCTTTTTCAGAGAATCCTCACAATAGGCGTTCGCGAGGACTAGCAACCCTGAAAGATGTATGCGTTGTACTGGCCGTATTTTAAAATAGAAAACCGTTTCTTACCCAGCGCTTGTTCTTGCAAAAGATCGACTTGATCGGTGTACAAATACTGCAAGAAAGCCTTATACACTGGATACGAAAACTGTGTTATCTCAAGAACGCTGAAAAATAAACACTTGTTTATTTTAAACATCTCTCAGTCCATTCCCGGGCCAGAAACAAATTAACAAAACTGGATATTGTGACCAACAATAAACAATGCTAATGCACACTCAACTAAACCTATTAGAAAAGATAAATGGTGAAGTGAGTGTGTTGTTCAATCTTTTTTCAAAGATTCAACTAAACCTCCTAATAAGCTGGTCATTTGCAATCATTTTGGCCTACCTATTCATACTGTTTTGGTCTGTCTGATGTTGGTGAAAAAAAATCTAATATAGGCAGACCACAACTATTGCAAATGAGCCAAACCAGCCTCTTCATCTTAAAAAAAAAAAAAAAAAAAAAAAAAATGTTCTTTGTAACAGTGATTGAATGTATTATTTAAAAAAGTTAATTAATTAATAATCAATAACAAAATTAATCCAATAAGAAGATAAAGAAAGATACATTATTGGGCATGTGCATATGTTTTTAAGTTTTTTCGGTGGTCAGAAAAGTCAAACTTTCAAAAGAAAAATAAATTTTATTTTTAATCCAAAACAATTTCTAGAAATATCTTTTTTTTTATGTGTAAAAGTCTGATGACAGACGAGATGAAATCTTCCAGTCCAATTTCAGAACGCTTTTATTAAAAAATTCCACACCTTATAAGTATTTGTCTACGGAGCGGTTCAAGTAAAAATTGTAAAGGGCACGATCTGGAGAGTATGGCCTAACCTGGTGATTTTACTCTGAGCGAGTACAGCTGTGTGAGGGTGTCACAGTGAAACCCGACATTGCGTCTGTTAACCAGGACTGGTCTTTCCTTCAACACTCCCCCAAGACACTCTCTTATATATAGTATCGGTTGTGTGGTAACAGTTGTGAATAAATTATTCCTCGAATATCCCACCAAACAGACAATAGAACCTTATGACTATGCAATCCTGCGCTTGACGATGATGGTCCTTTGGTTTTAACACTTTTCTAAAGGACCCCTCTTCTCATCTCCAATGACCAAATAGGAAATAAATCCTTCCGATTTAGTCCTATTTGGGTGTGAAATGCAACAAACCAAGCTATCTTCCTTTCCCGGAATTTCACAACGTAACCCAGATGGGTTTCTTATATCGTAGTGCGATGTACCTGAAATCTCTGATAGCATTGATGCAGTTAATTCGTCTTCATCATCAAATGTCAATAATAAGTTGTCAAACGTGGTAAGCCAAGCAATGCCTCAAATGAACTGCTTACTTGTTAACTGCTTTAACTGCTTGTGTTGTTCATTCTAGACTTACTTTTGGGATCAACCATATCAAGATCCCTTTCTTAACAATCCCTTCCGGAAGGGTTTTTCCTACCCTAGAGATAACAGGGCCAGTAGGTAATAAAGGATCGCATTTTTAAGAGTAAAATAAGAAATTAAAATTAAAAAAAAAAAAAAAAAAAAAAAAAAAAAAAAAAAAAAAAAAAAAAAAAAAAAAAAACCCTTATACACCCAATAATTCTGTTATGAAAGAGAACAACTTTTTTTTTCATATTATGATAATTTTACTGATTTATTTTCAAGATAAGTGTACAACAGGACTTTATTATATAGTTCTAATTAAAAAAAATTAAAACATACTCTTTCTTGTCTTCCTCCCAGTGGTCCTGGAACATAGAGCGGAAGTGTTGGCAGCGGATTTTGAGCACAGCCTTGTGGACATAAATGTCTTTGCCTTCGACGCGTATGGTCAGGTCGCTCGTACCCCTGTCGTCGAAAGCTGCTCGTATGCTATCTTCGACGCCGAAGTCAGAAACGATGGGCACCGGCTGGTAAGTAACAGGCGGGGAGCTATAACTGGCGAAGACCTCGTGCAGGGTTGAGAACGGCGTGAGAATGGGATCAAAAACTGACTGCCCTGGAAAATGACGGCTGTAAAGTTATGCTTTAAAATATAACTTGATAGTATTTCAAAACATATTTAAAAAATAAAATGGATAAACGTCAACTAAAATATTAAATGATGTAGTAATGTACTGTATTGTACCTCTGCATTGCCCCCACATGTAAACCCTGGAAGTTTCTGTTATCGCAGCTGAAATATGTGAATAATGATTCGCAGCAATATCTATGATTCTGGGAAGGAAAAAATGAGCTTTTTAAAACATTATATATAGTCAGAACTTCCTTAAAAAAGAAATTGTGGTGATTTTATATCAATTTTTGTATTATGATCAGTGAGATTAATTTTTCATTGGAAAAATTAGAAAATTAATAACCTTCCGATGTTTTCAGGGATTTGTTCTGGAGTCAATACGTTGTTTTTAGAGTTAGAAGCTAGTTGCCCGTACGTGTTGGCACCCCAGGCATATACTTTTCCCTCGTCGGAGAGAGCAAGGGTATGTGAATTTCCACATACAATCTACAAATTAAAAAAAAAAATGCTTACTGTTTTCAGATATTGTCTACACATAGTGTTTATTACCTTAACAATCACTGTGTTGCTCAACGCCATAATTCGACATGGATTCAACTGGTTCATGGTGTTCCCCAAACCGAGCTGTCCTACGATGTTGAATCCCCAACCATACACCTAAAAAAAATATTCACACTTAAACATAAACATAGTTGTTTGGAATTTTTAATAGATGAAAAACATAGTTAAGTATTTGAATTTACCTCTCCTTTATTAGTAATTGCCATGGTGTGCGATTGGCCGCAGGCGATTCCGACTATGATCTTCCCAGCGATTGTTGACTGAACTTTCTTTGGTAACAATTGATTTTGATTGATGCAAGATATCATCTGCCCGTTTTTGTACTGGCCCCAAGCATATACCTAAAATGACCCATATACATATACAATTATTTGTCTTTTCCTAAGAAGTAATCTGACCTACCTCCCCGTCGTTAGTGAGTACCACAGAGTGGTGAGCCCCGCAGGCGACCTCCATGACGACTTTGTCTGTTAGGCTGCACCCAATAAGATTGGGCGATGCGGAGTGGAGTGTTGTTCCTGTCCCTAGCTCGTAGTTGCCATTATGGCCCCAACTAAACACTTCTCCCGTTGATGTGAATGCAATGGCATGAGGACCGTTGCCAAATGCGAAACCTATATTACAATTTAAAGTAATTATGTTTTGAAATTTTGATATTTAATTCTCACAATTGATTAATATTTTTTTGCTTGAATTAACATATTTGTCTAATTTAAATAGTTTGAATAGTCCAAGAGTGTATTGACAGTGGACAGGGGCTGTCTATAATTTTGTAAAATAATATTACATTTCACTCTCTGGTTAGCCTATCTTTTGCCTGCTTTTGGCCATCATCAATGTTGGTTGTCTCATCCTGCTTATAATAAAGAACCGAAACATGCATAACAGAAAACAGTAAGGATAGAGAGACCAAAACGATTGGCAACAGTCAATGTATATATTCATCTCCCCATTGACCTCAAAACCTCTAAAAAGTACAACAAAAAATATAAAGGGTTTTTACCTTTTATGCCTTTTTTACACAAGAGGTGAACCTTCTGAGGTATCAGTGTGCTCAGCAAATGTCCCAAGCCGAGGCAGCCGCAAGTGTTGGCTCCAATTGCATACACATCGTCATTTTTCATCAATAGAAGTGCTTCATTTCCAGCAGTGCCTTGGGAAAAGAAAAAAAAACAGTTCAATGCATGCATCAATGACAGTTCGACCATATCAGAACAATTTGAACACTTATGCTTAATTTATTTAACACATTTTATACAATGCTTCAATTTATATCAAATGCAAAATTCACTCAACCAAACTGTTAATAATTTCCTTAAAATTGAAAATCAGACAGAAAATAGAATGAAATTTTGTTGATGACCATACTAGGAATTCCCAGTTTCTTCCCCAGGATACTAGTGTCAACGCTATCATATGCCGCAGATATATCTAGAAATAATGATGTCATCAATTTTGAATCTGAGAATGTGTCATAAATGTCAAAGATGAGCTTCGCTTAAGCATGTTGTATGCCTTATGGAATACAAATTGACTTTTTGGAAATTTTCCATTTGTTTTCAACCACCAATTAAGTCTGTTCTTCATTAAACTTTTGTATGTTTTTAGTACAAATCTGGGAGGTAGGACGAAATACTTCTGGTGAGTTTAGGTCTCTATTTGCTTTACGAAATGGTATCATGAGAGATGCTTTCCAGCTTTTAGGGATTTCTGCTTTGCTTGTCCAGATATTATATATATCTATATCAATATAATATATATATATATTTGTAGCAGCCTTATTTTCCCTGACCTTGGTAGATTGGATAGCATTGAATAATGGATTTGGTTGGCTTCTAGAGTTGTTTACATCTTTGAGGGCTTTGTTAAGTTCTGTGATGTTAAATTTTTTTTGTGAGAGTTGCGTTTGTAAAGGATTTTTTTAATGTCAGGTCTGGGCACAGATTTTATAAATAAATGGTTCTGTCCATTTACAGATTGTAATTGCGATATTGGATGAGGGGATATTTTTCAGGGCTCTAAATTTTTCCCAAACTGATAGGAGATGATCAATTCAGAGTTTTACAGTAGGCATGATTTGAATTTTGACAATGCATTTTTCCTTTCAGTTACCTTGTGACTATGTTATGCTGTCCACCAACTTTTGGTTAATCTATTATTGTTTTTGATTTGTTGTTTTTGTAAGTTGGTATAGTTTTCACATTCTTTTGTCAAGGCTTGTTCAAATACTGTGTAATATATTTCAGAAGGTTCCAATTAAAAATAGTTAAATATTATTTTATTTGTTTAGAGAAATTGTAATCACATGTTTCCATTTACAATAAGATATGATTTTTTTTACTTCATTAACTTGGGAAAATTAAACTCAATTATTATTTTTGGCTCTGCATTGAGCTTTTTGAGCATTGTTTTTGTGCTTTGATATTTTGAAAAACATGATTCTCAAAGTTGGAAAAGCTAAAGTATGGCTAATAACAATTAAATTTCCTCAAATCCTGTTAGTAAATGGAATCTCCACCAAACTTATTTTTTTAATTAAATTTTAATAGTCCGATGGTTTTCTTCAAACAGATGTTGAACACAAGTACCTTTTTAAAAACCTTGCCTTTAATTTGTAATGAGTAAATAAAAACTTATTGTTATGTATTATGAAAACTTTGTATTGTGATACAGACCTTTATTATTAAATTGATAGCAAATACAGATTTACAGTATTTTTTCCAGATTAAACAAACTGTGTTTATCTAAATAATCAGATAATCAAATTATTATGATAACTTATTTAACTTATCTCAGTTTTCTGGAAGGCGAGCATTATCAATAGTCACGGAACAAAATTTGAATTGAATCAATATGGAATAATTAAATTACACTACTAATTTCAATTGTTTTAATATGTGGTAATTAAAAAAAAAAAAAAAACAACTGGGCTCTTGAAAACATAAGTTTTTCTGTCTATCCAACCCAATTTTCTTTTAATAATATATTTTTTATTTATTTAGAATTTATTTAGACTAATCACCACACAATATATTTTTTATTGTATTCTTGGCCTCAAAAGGCCAAAAATGGATCGATGTTCTGGCCTTACTAAAATTATTATTAAAGCAGTCACTTTTATCTTTTAGATGTTGTTATAGATGATATACCTATTGTATTTTAAATTACATATATAATTTTTGTATGGAAGTATAGAATATTTACAACCCTCTCAGATTCTCATCGTAACTGAAAAGAAGCCTATCAATAATGATAGACGAATTTGAAGGTCACTGACAACCTAATCCATTGTTCTTAATGATCCTTCTTGTATTCCTGTTCGTATAAAACGTCAGCCTATGTGTTAACCTGGCATGACCTATTATAAGTTGAGTTAATGTACCCAGTTTAAGTGAAAGCTAATTATTAACTTATTGACACTGTAAGTTAAAGACCAAGTTTAATTACGGCCCTCCTTTTTCTTTTTGATTTCCAACATAGTTAATCAATATAAAAGGTATACTGTTGTAAAAGAAAACTGTATGGTGTAAAAAGTGAAATCAATCATCTATCAGTTTCCTTGGTAATTTTTTAATTAATTTGTTTCTTCTCTCTTGTATATTGAGCTTTTACGTTAAATTCAGACTGCCACATCCATGTTGGTTTTGTCTGTTTGCTCCCTCTCAGCTTTCTACAGCAGTACCAAAACAACAAATTAATGAAAAAGTTACATATTTAAAGGAATGTATGCTCTCTCTCTCTCTTATATATTGAGCTTTTATGTTAATTTTAGATTTCATATCCATGCTAGTCTGTTTGCCCCTTCCTGCATCAATACAAAAATAAATAAATGAATAAAAAAAGAATAAAAGCTGGTTATCTGGTGGGATTTTTGCTGTCTCTTGCTTATTGAGCTTTTACCATAATTTCATTTTCAGACTGTCATTCCATGCTGGGTTTGTCTGTTTGCTCCCCCCAGCTTTCTACAGAAGTACCAGAACAACAAATTAATGAAAAAGTTACATATTATGCTCTCTCACCTTGCCAGCAGAGAGAGTTTATATATATATNTCTCTCTCTCTCTCTCTCTCTCTCTCTCTCTCTCTCTCTCTCTCTCTTGTATATTGAGCTTTCACCTTAATTTCAGACTGCCATATCCATGCTGGTTTGGTCTTTTTGCAAACCCCCAATTTACCAGCAGTACCAAAACAACAATTAACTAGTAAATCTAGGTATCTAGTGGGGTATATGCTCTTCCTTGCATATTGAGCAAGGAGACTGCTTATACATGCCGGTTTGGTCGTTTTGCAACTCCCAGCAGTACCAAAATAACAATTAACTAGAAAAGCTGGGCATCTGGTGGAATTCGTATTTTTTCTTGCATACTGAGCTTTCGCTTTCCAGTTTTTTAATCTAATTATTAGTGCATTACTATTTATGTAAAAACTAAATTCAGAGTCAGAACCTGTCTTAGAAGTTTCAATTTTTGGCTTGATATTTTTAGTATGAAAAAATTTATTGTTTATTTGTAAATAAAACGTTAACTTATATATAACTTATATCTATCAAGGTTAATCTTTATTGTACTGTTTTTTTTTTAATTGCATGCAGAATTTAAGAAATCGTAGTGTTGTAAATAACTTTGTATTTATGAGATAACAGTAAGCTTTGCATGTCAATTGACGTAACGTCAATAAAATAAATAAATACTGATAGTATTTACAGCTCTAAACTAACTTAATTATGGGTACAATAATAAAAAAAATTAATAAAAAAAAAAAAAAGCAATTTGGCTGAATCTGTTAGTGATTGTTTTGCGTTAATCACCCTTCGGAATGGAATTCTTCAAGGAAAGTTGGGAAATTTTTTTGTAATTTAAAAGCAAGAGGAAAGTTGTTAAATTAATATTGAAATTATTTGCAGAGGAAATGGATTTAATATAAAAATAAAGACGGGATGTCAGATAAAGCAGTTCGTAAATACGTCGGAGAATGTTCAAGTATTCCTAAGAGGACACTCACCAAACACGGAGACAAGCTTCACTTCAGAGATAAAGTCGCTTTCCAGAAGGGGAAAAATGTTCCACTTCCGCAAGTCCATTCTGACAGGGCTAAAACTTTATATTGTTAAATACTTCTGGCGTAGAGAGCCGTTTCCTCTGGGCCGTCGAGGAAACAGAATCGACAAAGGAGGACGACGGCCAACGACCAAGACGACAACGAGGTGCCTCTGACGGCTCTGTCCTCTGACACCAGTTTGTTGTCATGCAGAAGGAAAACACGAAGAAGGCGCATGCGCTCGTTGAGACTGCGTCGTCGGACCTCGGACGTGCGCCCCGTCTCGCTTCGCTACACTACCAACTACCAACGAAACCGCATCACGCATGAGATTTCCACTGAGGTCATCCGGGTGATGACCTGAGGTTGGTCGTTCCCGGGAACTCTCACTTACCTAGTCGTTTATCACACTCTTTTGGTCAGACGCGTGAAGGCCATTCTCTATTATCAGACAGACCAAAATGTTAAGAAATGACCAAGCTATTGGTGGATTCGATAGTCTGTGGATGGACACAGGTTGAACTAATCCCTTTCGTTTGACTCGCTGTTTTGGCCCTGTTTGCACTCTGCCATCTTCTCCCATAAATACCAAAACAAATTAACAAGAAAAAGCTTGGTATCTGGTCTCTCTCTTGCATATTGATTTTTTACCTTAATTTTGGACTGCTTATGTATGTTGTTTTCACCTTGACAGCTTCCCCCAACACCAAAACAAAAGCTCACTATATTGAGCTTTTACATTAACTTTGGACTGCCTAGTCATGCAGGTTTGTCTTTTTGTACCCTCTTTTTTCCACAGTAGTACCAAACAATAATAAAAAGTATGTACCTAGTGGAATATATTCTCTATGTATATAGAGATTTGACTTTAACTTTGGAGTGCCTATCCATCCCAGCAATATTAAAACAAATGAACAAGAAAAGCTGGGTATATATGGTGGGATATGTGCTCTTCCTTACATATTGAGCTTTTAAAATTTGGACAGCCTATCCATGCCAGTTTGGTTTATTTCCTCACTCCTAGCTTCCCACAGCAGTGCCAAAACAATAAATTAACAAGAAAAACTGGGCATGTGGTGGAATGGGTTCTCCCTTGCTTTTGGAGCTTTTCAATTAAGGACTGCTAGAAATAGTTCAAACATTTGTTGTAGATGTCTCTGAGAGAAGGCAAATACAATTAACAAAGAACAAATTAAATGAGTATGTAGTTACTTTTTCATCGAGGTGTTGGATAACCAAAAGAGCAGATATAGAACGAAATGAATTTTTAACAACCAAGCATTTTACTTCCTAAATTCCTACATTTTAAAAGGAAATTGTAGCACTACATATTTGATGGGGGGGGGAGGGGAGAACTGAGTCTCCAAGCTACCATCATAATGTATAAAGATGCTTGTAAAGATTTGTAATGACATTGATTTGACTATCCTCAAGATAATGGTCACAATAAAACAATAAATAAAAAATTACTCTCCTCACTAAGCTCTGGTTCATCAGTACTTCAAGTATCTGATTGGCCAATTTGTAAAATTGCTTATGGCTGTCTGGACAAGTAGGTCTAATATTTTTACATTTGACTCAAATGTATCCATGATAAAGAAAACCTCATTCTAAAGAAGAATAAAAGAACTCGTGATATTCAAGTGGCATCCACATATCTTTATGTTAAAGTTGTAGAGAAGAGGCAGAAAATATTTAGATTAAATAATATTATTGATCTTGAAATTTAATCGCCTCCTTCATCCTTATCTACAATCAATCCACAGGTATTTTTAAAAAGATTCAAACATTTTTGTTTAAAAAATATATCTATTGTAGAATTATTAATCAATTATACATGTCATAATAAACTATCTGAGATTATCCAGTTAAAATTTAAGGTTGCATCCTCAAAGCTCCATCCAGGCGGATGACTTCACCGTTCAAAAGTGGGTTTTCAACGATCGACTGGACAAGCATTGCAAACTCGTCAGGGTGGCCTAGCCTCTGAGGATGGGGTATTGTAGTGGCGAGGAAGACACGTACTTTTTCTGGCAAAGATGAGAGAAGGGGTGTATCAAAGAGGCCAGGCGCGATTGTGCAGACCCTGATACCTTGAGAGGCCAAGTCCCTAGCGATAGGGAGGGTCATGCTGACTACAGCACCTTTGCTGGCTGAGTATGCCGCCTGCCCGATCTGTCCATCATATGCAGCAACGCTGGCCGTGTTGACAATGACACCCCTCGAACCGTTCTCGTCTGGCTCGTTCTTACCGATCAGACCCACAGACAGTCTTATAACATTGAACGTGCCCACTGAATTCACCATCAACACCTTAGTAAAGTCCTCAAGTTTGTGTGGTAGGCTTTTATTGAAATTGTATGTTTTAAAGGCAACACCGATTCCCGCACAGCTGACGGCGCAGTCAAGCCGACCGAACTTAGACTTAGCCAGTGCAACAGCATCCTCCACGTCCTTCTCGGAAGTAACATCCACGGGGGCAAATTCAACATTGGGTCCTGTCTCCTTTGCGACTGTAGCACCTTTTGAAGTTGGCAGATCGCACAAAACAACTCGGCCACCTTCCCTAATTGAAAATAAATAATAAGGTTTTAAATTTTTAAAATAAAAAAATAAATGTTATTCTTGTGGCGCCACCACCCTTATTAAAACATTGGCTATCATATTAACAATAAATTTCTTTGCCCAGATAATTATAATATTATATAAAGGTTTTTCATAAAATTTAGGTTGATAAAACTATAAAATGGTTTTACTATCAACGAGCAAATGTTTTTATCACACCCTTTTCAGAAAAAATGTTACAAAATTTAAAAACAAAAATATCTGTTTGATCTGTATGCACCTTGCCAGCTTCCCCCAGCAGAACCAAAACAATTAACGACAAAAACTGGGTGTTAGGTGAAATATGTGCTCTCTTGCAACTGAGCTTTTACCTTAACTATTTCAATTAATTATTCTTTTTATCTCAGGTCTTGGCTGAAATGAAAAAGTTAGTGTCACAAGCGGGTTTCGAACCCATGACTTTTGGCTCAATACGCTGCTGCTCTAACCACTTGAGCTATTGTGACAGCTAAGTATGTATGCCTTGCACCCTTCTGTTAATAGCAAACAACAATTAACTAGAATTATTATAATATTATGATTATAGAATTGTGAATTAGAACGATGAGAATTATTAATATAATTATATATTATGTAGAATATTTGCTCTTATTATATTAATTGTGGATTGCCAATTCATGTTGGTTTGGGTCTGTTTGTACCTTCTCAGCTTCCCCCAGCACTATCAAACAACAATTAACAAGAAAAATTGAGTATCAGGTAGAATGTGAGCTCTCCCTTGCATTGTAAAATTACTTATTGTTGACTGTACAAGTAATTTTGAATTTTTACTTGGTCGTGGTTTCCCATCTAAACGTAACTAAACATTTACCAAGTCTTGAGATGCTCGTCTTGGCATTCGTCAAATAGAGTGCCTAAGTACTCACATTTGGGGTTTGTACAACCACCCACTACTGTTGCCCCACCTTACTTTAAAAACCCCTTTCCAATTTAAGTGATTCTGAAGAGAAGGGTTCCAAATTGTTGGTTCAGCTGGGTGGAGAGAGTGAGGAACTCCAAGTCTGTTATATTAGGCCAATTCATTCCTAACCAACAGAAAAAACGGTATGTTGTTCTTTCATTAATACATCTATACTAGTTAGGAATGTATTATTGAAAAATAAATGTTAGTATATAAGTTTAGTACTGTTGATTAATGATTACAATTGATATACATACAGTACAGTCGATTCCCGAATATGTAAATGCTTTGAGTTTGGCTACTTCACGAATATTTGTGCACTTTCAACTGTGAGATATCTCTCATGAGGTCTGCGGGGTGTTGAACATGCTCCTTGGTTATCTCGGAACATTCGTTCTTAATTTTATTTTGGCTTGATAATACCCAGGGAGAGTGTACCAAACAAACTGATGATGGCGATAAGCCAAAACGCATCTGTCAGGCCAAAACAGCGAGGACGGGCAAACCAAAACTATAAGTAACGACCAAATCACAAGATTCTGAATATAATTTAGTAATGTGTGGTGATTAGTGACCGTTAATCGATAATTATTCAGAAATCGTGAGATGCGGTCATTTACCGGTCATCAATTTACCAGGGTGAAATGGTGTGATGTAGGTTTCAGAAAAACATTTTCTTTATCGTGCCAACGTTTCGATCTTTATTGAGATCATCTTCAGGGCTCAATAAAGATCGAAACGTGGCACGATAAAGAAAATGTTTTTCTGAAACCTACATCACACCAGACCGCATCTCACGATTTCTGAATAATAATTTAGTAACTTTTTTTTAATTATTAAAGCCTAAAATAAAACTAATACAACAGTGAGTTTTATTCAAAATTTTGATTTCTTGGAAACTATCAAACTTCATTGAATTTTTAAAAATCAGATCCCACCTGGAAATCCTTTCAACGCACGCCTTCCCCAAGCCCGATGCACCCCCGGTAACCAAAGCTACGATGTTTTTAAGAGACGGCATTTTTGCAAAGAAATTAAATAAAAATGGTTCAATATTAATAGGAATTATTGTAGATTATCTCGATTGACCTATTACGCATTAATTATAATCAAAGTCAACTGTTATCTGTTCCCGGTAACCTACTCGAACGGTACCCAATGAGTGATTTGTAATTGATGAACGAACTTGTTCCGAAAAAAAAAACTATGTTGACTTGTCTTTCTTTTTAATGATTTATCGTTTTTACGTGTTTTTTTTTTCAAAATTGCATGAAACACGTAAAAACACCTTGAAAACGTAAGAGGTTTTTTTTATTTCGTTAAAAAACAAGAACTACCTAGTTCGAACGAACTAGTTCTTTCAACGAACTCTCCTGAAAGGAATCTTTTTGACCTTTTCTAGCAACCGTGCTAGTTTGTGTATTTTAAATTACAGTTTTTAAATACATTTTCTTTATTTATGAGTCAATAAGTAAATTATTTAAATAAATGTGTTAATTTAAAAAAAGAGTAATTTTTTTATATTTGTCACTTGTTTTCTATCGATTTGTTTGGGTTTGGGTTAAAGTCTTACCAGTAATATTCAGGATTTGACAAGATGTCCAAGTACTTATGATTTTTCAATTATGATTACTTCGCAGCTAAGTGTTTGCTTTGATTTTATTAAAAGTATAAATTCTTGGACCTTTAACGTGGTGTTTCGATTTACATTGTTGACTCGAATCGATGATAGATCATAATGATCAGCGTGGAAGTGCGCAGTTGTGGAGGGGAGAAGAATCGCGCTCCCATCCTGCAACGGGGTCGGCACAGTCCATTTCCGTTCCGGCGTCTCCTCTCTCTTTGTCCGCCATTTTCGCCTTCTCCTGCCCGGTCGCCGATTGTCTTCGCCAAATCCGAGCCCGAGTTGACAAGTAAGTCCGAATTAACTTATCTTTAAGCAATGTAGTGCGGGCCTCGAGGCGACTTATTCGCCTCGGCGCGTTCGGCACGGTTCAAATAGCTTTATTTTACTATATCTGGCCACGCGGCGTCCTTTTCTGAACAGCGGTGACGTTTTCCTCCGACAAACGTTTCTATTCATTTTTTCCTCCTTTTTTTTTATGGATTCTCTCCCTCGATAAATACGTTTATCACTTTTATCCTCTAATTATAAATCAAGTCTTGTTTTATTTAATCCTTAATATTTCATTGTCGCCTAATTTTCTAGCCCCCTCTCCTCTCATTTTTATATACGGTTCAATATATCCCTGTAAACTTAAATTGCCTTTAAATTTGTTTATTACTTTATCATTATAAAAATAGCGTTAAATTTCAAAATAGAAAGAAAAAAAGTTCATTTTTGCTTATTTTTTCACCTTGTCCGAGTTGCGTGCACGTGCACGCATGGCCGCCTTTGGCGTCACTCACTCGAAACTCGATTTACCGTTAAACATAAACTATAAATAGTCAATACATTTTGGTGGGAAATATTGAAATTCAATAGGTTTTTACCTAAACCTAGGTCCAAATTTTCTCTCGTTTAAATTTTTCACCTTGTAATTAAATTGGCGTGAGGTTTGGATAATGAGCCGGCCTGTTTTACCTCTTATCAGGCCTGCGTCTTACTGCCTCAGTATTATTTTTAAAATTTATATTATTAATTAAAAATTTCATTTAGGTTTTATAATTAGTTTTACGTTTTAAATTCATCAGCACGCTCTGTTTTTCGAAATTATATTGTTTTTAACGTTTCTACGTTTTTTAGCCTTTTAATTTTTAAAATTTAAATTTTCTATTTGATTGAAAAAAATATTTTGTTCATGGTTGTTTATTTAAAATTTTTCAAAATGATTTTAAATTTATCTCAATTTATTTCAAATTTATCTGAATTTGCAGTATTTCTCCATCCTCATGTTGCAAAAAGTGCGTAATTTTTTCCCCTTTTTAACTAAACAATTTAGGAAAATAAAATAACCTTGCAGAAATAAAAAGTAGATTGAAATGCGCAGGGAAAATGTTAAAGCAAAGATAACAAACTCCAGTTTAATTTTCGTTACTATTATTGGGTTGTCCGGAAAATAATGCAGGATTTTGGTATTAAACAAAAAAAAAGAAACTAGTTACTTTAAAGCAATGTTCTTTAATCAAATTTCTCCCAACGTGTTGGTAACTTATTAATTCCGTCTGAGTAGAATTCAGAATTTTTAGAATTGATAAAGTCAATAAATGCATTTTCCAGTTCCGTTTGATTTTTGAATATTATGTGTTGTAAGTAGTGGTCCAGGTGTCTAAAAAAATGGTAGTCAGTAGGCGAGAGGTCCGGAGAGTAGGGTGGGTGAGGCAAAGTTTCATAGCCAAGCTCCAATAATTTTTGTGACGTTACACGTGACACATGTGGTCGAGCGTTGTCATGCAACAAAATGGGCCCTTTCCGATTGACCAAAGAGGGCTTCATTACTGCCAATTTCTGATGCATGGTATTAATTTGGTTACAGTATGATTCAGCATTGATGGTTTCGCCAGGATTTAAGAAGCTGTAGTGTATTAAACCAAATGAAGCCCACCATACCGTAACCATTACCTTTTTTTGATGAGTTGGGGGCTTTGGAAAATGTATTGGAGCTTCTCCTTTGTCGAGCCACTGTCCAGAACGTCTAGTGTTATCGTAGAGAATCCACTTTTCGTCACATGTAACAATTCTGGCCAGAAATGGGTCATTTTTGTTTCGACAAAGAAGTGATGCACAAACATCAAAGCGCTGATTTTTTTGGCGATCGTTTAATGAGTGTGGAACCCAATTTTCGAGTTTTTTCACTTTTCCAATCGCCTTGAGGTGGTCAGCGACGGTCGTTTTACTGACTTTGAGTTGCTCTGCAAGTTCTCGAACAGTTGTTTTGGGGTTTTCTTCCACCACTGATCGCAGAACATCATCATTAAGAGAGGAAGGCCTTCCACGACCTTCTTCATCTTCAAGGCTGAAATCTCCCTCCCGAAATTTTTTAAACCACCTTTGCACAGTGCACTCATTAACACAACCCTCGCCCCAGACTTGGTTAATGTTTCTAGCCGTTTGGGCTCCGCTTCGGCCGAGTTTAAACTCGTAAAAGAAAATCGTACGAAATTCTCGCTTTGACATTATAAGGATGACTGAATTATTTCCAAGTAGCGGAATGCTACAGAGGTAAACAAACAATATCATTTGGAAGAGGATTAATAAGTGTTGACATTCATACAAATGAGTAATCCTGTAAACGTAAACAGAATATTTTATATAGATTTTTTTTAATGAAAACTTAAAATCCTGCATTATTTTCTGGACAACCCGATAATTAAGAGTGCAATAATAATAATAATGTGTAGAGATTAGTGACCGTTAATCTATAGTTATTCAGATATCTCCTGAAGATGATCTCAATAAAAGATCGAAACGTTGGCACGATAAAGAAAATGTTTTTCTGAAACCTACATCACTCCCGACCGCATCTCACGATATCTGAATAATAATAATAATAAAAAAACAGCTACAACATGGTAATCGGTACATATGTTCTTGTCCCTCTCTAAATGATGTGAAGACAGATACATAACTAGAGAGGTGTTAGTACGTTTACTTACTGGGGGGGGGGAAGACAAAAACCAACAAAATGTTCAAAGCAAAGATAACAAACTCCATTTTACTGCATAAAGGAATCTAGTCCCACCAGGCATTGTACAAGGTGATTCAAGCCTCATAAACAAACGCAGAATGGCAGATGTAAAATACGTCATGAAGACTAAGTACATTACACATTAATTGAGAGTGCAATCATAAAAAAAACCCAGTAACAACATGCTAAGCAGCACAGATGTTCTTATCCCTCTCTAAATGATGCAATGACAAATACAAAACTAAAGCGATGTTCATATACTTACTGACAGGGGACAAAAAACAATGCAAAATGTTCAAAGGAAAGATAACCAACTCCAATTTAACCCATAAAAAAATCAGCGCCAACCCATTGTTGAGTTAAATCACCTGAACAAACACAAAATGGTAGACATAAAATATGACAAAGACTAATAACATAACCATTAATTGAAATGAACTAAAAAAAAACAACAAAAAACTACGGCAATAGTAAGTGGCACTGATGAATAAACCAGACGGCATCTCACAATTTCCGCATAATCATCGACTAACGGTCTCTAATCACCACACTGATGAATAAAGTAATGAAGAAACAATACAAGTCATGCCCAACTCTTAAAAATGGGTTTCTACTGTGCGAAACACCCGTGCAACTGTATGGAGACCTAGGCGGTACTGCAAAACTATTGGCATTAGGATGTTTTGGGATGAGCCGACCGATCTGGTTTTTTTAGTGTGCATCAAAATGTTTTCATGTCGTTTGTTTCTCTCCGTGTAAACGCACTTGTCTCAAGGGTGAGAACTAGGAGGGATGCATTTGACTTATCCGAATGTATAACAGCTACTGATCATTATGGGTTGCTAAAGATAAAAACTCATAATAAAAAACATAAAATAAATCACAACTCAACTTGGTTTGTTTTTCTTTTTTTAAAATGTAAAGTATCGCCATGATAGCAAATGCTGATGCAGCGGTTTGTGCAGATATGAACGGCATGTGTTTCTTGTGCAATGTTTGTTCACCTTGTTTCGCGATGTTGCGAAATGTTTCGCCTCTTGGTTAACAACATCACCTAATTATTCACGAGTAATTCTCACGATTTGATGCAAGTGATTTTTCCGCGCTGTGGTTTCCCAGCTTAACTCAGGCAGTGAGCTCAAAAGTCAAAAAGAACTGACCCCAAACGACACTTGCTAACTCTAGCAAACGGTATACTAGTATGAATTGATGCAAAATTAGTGAACGAATCACTTGCTACAAATTCAAATTACAAATGACTGTATTACAATCTAATAAACTCCACACTAAAGATATGTAACTTAAGACAACCAGCTCATGGGTTCTTACATGTTCTAAAAAATATTAGTTTTTTCCATGATAGTATAAATTTCATGTGGGGAGAATATTTCAATTATTCAAATCTTTACAAACAATAACAGCTTTGCCGCAGCATTAGTACAATACTGAATGTCTGCTTTCCCTTGCTGTTTACAGTAATATTTTCCAAATTGTAAATAAAATGAGTACCTCTTTGGGAAATAACAATAACAATTATTAAACTATTCAGTTTGCTACACCAATGTAAAGCAGAGGGAATTATAATTCAAATTATGATGCCTCTGCTATAAGCTTGCTGTGTGTCTATAGTGTTACTAATAATATTGTATTGTTAGGTAAAAATGGAAAGACGGGGTGGATTCAGAGGCGGTCGTGGAGGACCTATGAGAGGTGGCACACGTGGTCGGGGTGGCTTTACTAGTGACCAACCCCGAGGAAGGTAAAAAAAAATTACGAGTGAAATTATCTAATTTTCTTGTAAATAAATGATATATGATTTTTAAAATTTTCTAGGGGGCGTGGAGGAACAGGCCCAGGCATGGGAGGAGGCCGTGGAACATTCGTAAAACGCGAAGGCATGGAAGGAACCCGGGGTGGATTCCGAGGCAAGTTTCAACAGTTCAAATTAACTGACTTACAAATTTTGCAATGATGATATTTAGGTTCCCTCTTCATAGAAGAGCCATGCTGACAATAACCTTCCGTTACCCAAAAATATTTCTCTGAGCTCACACCACTTAATAGTGTTTCGCTAATCTAATCGGGCGATTATTTTCAACACTTTTTAATTGTTTCAAGGCGGGAGAGGTGGCCCTGAAGGCAGGGGACGAGGCGGCTTCATGAGGGGCAACACCCGAGGGAACGGTGGCCCTCCACGCGGCGTACCGAGGAGCCGAGGAGGCCCTCCGATGCCAGGCAAAAGACTGCTCGGCCCCCCAAATCCCGTTTCTAACAAAAGGAGTAGATTTGACGGGCAATCTGAATACGCAAAATCCAACGGATATTCAGCGTAAGTAATAGTAATTGAGATTGTATTACTAATTTTTTGTTGGTGAAATTAAAAAATATTTAATCATTATTTTAGGGAGGCTAACCAACGCTAGGTTTCTTTCTCCTAGTCCTTTCATTCTTCCTTTATTATCTTGTGAATTAATGGTCACAGCTTTCTTATGAACATTTTAATACAAGTTTTAATGCAAACAGTTATTTTAGAAGCTGTTCAATATTAATAAACTGTTTGAAAATGCTTTTCAAAAATATCCTGAATTGATCTTTGATGTTCCTTTTTATCAAAAATGGGTTAACTTTTATTTTATTGTACTTATTTATTATTTTAATTTTGGTGTACTAATTTTTTGCAGTGACTAAAATTTCATAAAAATCTGCCCCTACTTCTTATCGCCAATCAAAACTTTTTTTCCCCAGGGCCTGAATTTTTTTTCCAAAAAAGTGCTTGACAAAACACTTAGATTTTTGTCCTTGTTTATGATTAGAGATCATGAGATGCGGGTCTGGTGTGATCTGGGTTTAGAAAACATTTTCTTTATCGTGCCAGTGTTTTGATCTTTATTGATCATCTTCAGGGCTCAAAGTGTTTGTTTTCTAGGAAGATCAGTCATTACTGTGTCTCGTGTTGAGAGTCCCTCGTCACACTTTGACTGAAATCTTACGATCTCCAAATAATCATTAATTCACAGTCATTAAATACCAGTCCTTGTTCATGTCGAATTTATGATTTTTTTAGAGCATGAACTGCCAACATTGAGACATTTCCGCTGGATTGCAGGTGTCCGTGTTATATTGGGATTTGTAGACCTAATTTTTAAATTATGCACTTTGGTTGCTCAAATTGCAAATCCTTTACACCAAACAAAGCACACAAAATAATAGTTCCATTAAAAAAAAAAAATAAAAAAATAATAATTGGCTAAAAATTCTTTTTGAGCACTTCCGGTGTTCAAAAAAAAAAGTTTACTAATCTAATTAAAATAATAATACTTAATAGTAATAATACTAATCTAATTACAAAAAATTTGTTTATTTGTGATATTGCATGAATGGCAAAAATATGTGATTTTTTAAAATGTTCGTTTTATAATGGTAAATCAAAATTTAATTTTAAAATCAAAAACATCCTTTTTATATCCAACAATTTTTTTCTATGTAAAAAATTATTCTTGTGGAAGTAATTTTTATTTTAAATCTGCATTTTACTTTTTGCAGACCATACCCCTCTTACGACAACCATCCTCCGCAACCATCATACGGGTCTCAGCCAGGTCCCGGTTATGGGTGAGTGTGATTTAAAAAAATTAAAAACTAACTGTTGGTGGATGTTACGGAATATTTGTTGTATAAATTTGCTTTTTTACTTACCCTCTTTTTCTTTTTTTTTTTCTCTTTTTTTGGCTATTCAGAGGTGGAGTTTGTTGACAGGCTAACTTGAATAATTAAAGGGAAATTTTATCATTTCAGTTCTTATTCCTCTTACGATACCCATCCCACAGCCCCAGTTTATTCTACCCAGACACCTGGATATGGGTAAGTCCATAATTTATGCTTTGTGAAGGTTAGCCTGTTAACACTTGGGCAGACTTAGTGTAACCATTGATCAAGCTAGAGGAAACGGACTGTTTAAAGTTGCACTTTTTCCTGTCATGTTCCTGGCTTGAATTTTTGATTTGACTGTATATACATAATAAACGAATAAACACTTCTGTAGTATTTGTAGTTTAACTCCTTCAGTCCTGAGTTTGGTGTAGCAAAAAATTTTTTCTGGACTTTTATTAATGTAAATAATTGGATGATAACATGATTTTTTCATAATTTGTCATCCAATATCAAAGAAGTTACAGGTAATATACAGTATACTGTACACTGGGATTGAGCGTAATGAAATTGTAATATCTTGACAAATGAACTGTTGTAAGTAAGAAAACGTTTATTTCAGCATAATGATGAAATTTAAAATAAATACGCGAAAAATAAAAGTTATTGCTGGTTGAAATCATAAAAAGTTTCTGGATGCATTTATACATAAGTGCACATTACTTAGTGCACAGAATGCGCGTACTTTACCTGCATGAGTCAGTTTTGCATTTAATGGGCTAGTTGAATCGTAACGTGTGTCTTGGAATGGCCTTGTATCGGTGTTCAGTCGTTTTTTCACCAGAGAAACTTTTTCTCATTCATGTGATGGGCCCCTTTTCTCCCGCTGCCATTATCTTGATCTCTAGTATCTAAATAAAGAAGAAAGGTGCTTACAAGTATTCCCTCCCAAATTTCAGAAACTAGCTAAATTTGTGATGTACGGTATGCTGTACACCAGGACTGAAGGGTAAGTGAAGCTTGGTATAGGATCAGGTATACGACTTGGGATTATTGTTTGTGACGCGGTGGTCATTATCTACTGTCAGTCGATTCAGAAGCGTTGACTTGTAAAGATGTTTTTAATAAATTGTGTATTTGAACTGTATTCTTGGCTACCTTGAGTAATAACTACTTCTTCAAAAAATCCATGATAAAAACTGATTAACAGAGAATTTTTGTCTTTATATTACGTTTTTTGTTTTTCATTTTTGTAATTTTTTTTACTGTTGTAGAACAACAGCCCATTTTGTATGTTACCTTGAGTATTTTTTAAAAGTTGAATTTGTACTATATCCTACATAACATTTTCATTGATGAACAAATTTTGAAAAGAGTACATACCTTTTGTATTTTATAACCCAATAGATTAGTTTTCCCGATTTGGCGGCTTAATTAAAAAATATAGTTGTAGTAATAGACTAAATTTTCTCATTTATGCTTAGTAAATAATGTTTTTATAGCAAATATTGCTTGCTGATATTAAAATTGAAATTTGACAGTTGTGAAGGGTTGACTAAATGTGTATGTTTGTGTTTTGTGTATTATGTATTCAAATTTACTTGATATAGCCCAAGTACTCCGCTGTATACGGAGTATGGTGAATTTTATTATTTTGCCTGCTGGTCTTGCATTAATTGAAATGATCCCTAACCATTCAGGACGATGTACGTGATATCGCGCTCGTGCTTTCTATAGTGAGGTACTGAAAATGTGCCATCAAGCTCATCCCTGTCAGGCACTGCTAGTATATCACGCTCTAGTCTCTTCACTTTTGAACTGACGTTCAAAGAAACTTGTTTAAAATGGAAACAGCATTGTTTTCTAAATTTCCCACTCAGTAGCGCTGAAAAGAATAACTAGTTATTTTAATAACAGCACACTGCTTCTATGAACCTCAATCTAAAATTGTAGAGAGAGTAGAGCAAGGTATAATGCTGTAAAGTACCTGTGGGTGGGTGCATGGGTAATCGTACCTTACTTGGAGAATGAAGAGCGTGGTATACTCACAGTTATAAATTACATTACTTAGTTGCTTTAATTAATTTTGGCATCAGGTAACCCTGACAATTTATCCATTATTTACTTATAAAAATTTGGAATGTTTGAGGAAATTTAAGTAAAAACTAAGGATAAGCTTAAGTTATAATTAAAAAATTACTCATTGCAATAAGTACATCACACATAACAAATATCTAATTTAAATGTTGTCACGAAAAATATTTAAATTAGATATTGAAATATCTTTTTTCTATTTATTAGTAAAAAAAATTGTCACTGTTCAAGTGATATATGTTAGGATGTTAGATTTTTTTAAAGTTACTAGAGTAAGCATGTAAACAAATTGCCTCAGTGAATCTTATGCTGATGGCTATGGTGGACGTGGTTATGGTGACAGCGATGGTTACAGCCAGCCCGGAGGGAACTATTACGGCGGTAGCAGCGGCCAACCCGGTGGCGATTACAACTACACACCAGCTCCTGACATGAGATACCCATCGCAACCACCTGCATATCAGGATCAGTATGCTAAACCTCCACGCCCCTATGAACAATGTGAGTCTGAAATAAATTTTATTTTGAATTTGAATAACGATCATGTTCCGTTTTTACAGCTTACAGCACCAGTGGCGGTGGCGGAAGCTACACTTATAACAACACTTATCAGCCTGCTGGTGGCTACGGCGAGAGGCCTTATCCTTCGTCAAGTGGTGGTTATGGTAAGCAATCTTAATATTTTTTTTTTTTTTTTTTTTTTTTTTTTTAAGGGGGGAGTTAATTTCTAACTCTGTCATAATGAACTGTATTAAATAGTCAAAATAGTTTTGAACAATTACAATTAATGCATTCTACAAGATTTCATCTTTTACAGAATGATAGCAATAATTTTTAAGGTTAACAATGCGTACTGGTTTTTTGTTCCCATGAATAATTATTTTGATCAATATATAAAATGATGAAATTTATAAAACATCTACAGATCAAAAAAATAAAAAATGTCAATCAATGTATTTCAATGAGAAATAAAATAAATAGGAAAATCGCTATCTCATCACAAATGTGGTTTTTCACATTTTGCATAAATTAAAAAAATTGGCTAGATGCAGTGAGCTATGACTTAACAAATCTTACCACAATACCTGCTAAACAATGAAAACTGTTCGCTATCAGTTAAAAATGAATAAAGAAAAAAATCAGAAAAAAGTACCTATCCAATTTAATTACTTTATAGGTAAATTTATTTTTATGTGGGTAGTTCCACTTTTGAGTGTTGCAGATTAGAACTCTGGCCATAAATAATTTATAGGCAAAGTGCTTATTTTGGCCGTATTTAAAGACTATTTGACAGTAAAATAATTCTATTATTTATTTAACAAATTATATTGGCATTTGAGTCAACTGAACGTTAGAATGGAAGGAGAAATGCCTCAATAATTAGTTCTTCCTTGCTTTCTTTCAAGGGGAAACCCTCTTTTATTTCTAAACTTGTATAAATTTCAGGCAGTTGCTCTCAAACCTACAAAATAGATAATTTGAATTAACCATCTTACAGGTGCCCCTTCAGCCGGTTATGGACATAGCAGGGAATATTCAAACCAACCACGTTCAAGATATTAATTTAAACACTACAAAAATTTCAATATTAAAAAGTTTAAGCTAGGTATATAAATAACAAAAGGACAAAAAAATGTAGAATTTAGGCTCTTGGGTTTTTAGAGAAAAAAAGAAAAAAAAACAAAAAAAACAACAACAGTATTTGTATAATAGTTTTTATGTGCTTAGAAGTCTTTATTTATTTCTAATGAGTAATAATAATTTAAGAAAGAAAATTTATACCCCACTTTGTAAATTTTTTTTTATTAACGAAAAAAAGATTCGGAAATTTTTGAAAAGGCGTGGCTATTCTTGGCTTATGTATTTTAAAATTGGAATGGCCTGAATTCCAGATTTGTACAATATCTTATTACATTGAAATGTAATGCAACTTTTTTTTTTAAGATTTGAGAAATAAATGGCATTTTATTACATACCTTTGAAGTTTTCTCCTGTCTTGCTCCAGTCTGAGCATGTATATGATTGCTATCTCAGAAAAACCGTTTATTTAGTCTTTATTGGAGGTTGGGTAATTTCAAGTGTGAAGACCCCAAAAAATATTTTTATACAAAAAAAATTATTAGATGGCAAAAAAAACAGTTATAGTCAGAAATGATAAAATGATATATAAAATTGATAGTTTTGTTTGTTTGAACTTAATGTTCATCAAGGTGAACACAGATAATTAGGTAGAGTATGTTTGGCCAGTTTTCTTACTTTACAATGGGGTTTTAATCACAAGAAATCACAACAAAACTTGGAAATGATCTAAAGGAATGTCCTATAAAAGGAAAAAAATACCTACAGAGAATATAAATTATATAAATATGTATAAGAAGGAGCGATTGAGCCAAAACTAAAATGGCTGAGAACTTATCATTTAATTTAATGAAATCGATTCAGCAAATTGTAACGTTTCTACTGGTGTAATTTTAAGAAAAGTGTGATGACACAAAGAAGAACCTAATTTCTTTAAACAGCATACATAATATTTAATTATAAGTATTTTATAACAATCGAAAAAGTAAATAAAGGAAGGAGTACACAATATTTACATGGTAGGTATAATTTTATGTTTAACTTTATTGGTTGGATTATCAAAACAAATTAAATTTGCGAAATGAATTTTTCTGTTTTAAAAAGATTTAATCTGAAATTACAATTGATATCTGATATATTTACATTATTATAAACATTGTAACATATTAGTGTATTCTTAAACCCTGGCATGTTTTTATTAGTTCAGTTGCAAGGACCTTTAATTATTCAGACAAATTGTAAATAGATTGGAAATGAAATTCTGAGAAATTGTGAAAGGATTTATTATTTTTTTTTTTATCATGGATAGGTGAATAAGTTCATATTACAGCGATCAAAATTCAATATCTTGGGTTAATTAAAAACTAAAAATAATCCCCTTGGAAAAGCTGTAAGTTTTATTTAGAAGCATTAGATTTCTTTTAAAATGAATTGAAGGGGTTTGGAACTATTTTTAAGGACAAAATGTCAATAAATAAATATATATATATATATTAAAAAAAATCTTAATGGATAACAAGTCTGCATAAAAAAATCTCCATCAAAAAGAGAATATCTGACTTAACATTCACAAGAGAGAAAAAAGCTCAATAAATGATTAAGTAATTATTGAAGAAATAAGTTAATTCCTCAGTTCTCAGTATTTCTAAATTTTAGGATAATAATTTTAAAAAATGTATATAAGCCATAACTGAAAATAATTATAATTCCATACTTTTTACTTATAAATATATGTGCTTTTAAAAAGAAGAAGAAAAAAAAAGAGTTGTGGTGAGATAGTAATTTATAATTGAATTGTGAAAATTTTGTTAACGAGGGGGGTGAGAAACTCACATGTTGAGATTTGACAATCTCGTTGACAGTTGATTTTTATTTATTTTTTAATTTGAACAAGAAAATATAAAAACCAAAAAGTCTACAAAAGTTATCACATAATATTAATTAACAGAAGGTAAGCCAAATTCCTTAACTTTTCAAATATATATACATTAATAAAAGAGAAACCTAATGAGTGTGAGAAACCTTTAAGTGCAAATTAAACTAACTATTGAGTAAGGAAATTGTCTGTGAAATATAGGCTGTATACTTAAATAGAAAAAAAACAAACAAAAATGATTGCAAAAGCCTAGCCAAACACATAAATGTAAGAAGCAAAGACAACAAGCGATACATCAAATTAAAAAAAAAATTCCTTCCCCATGATCTTTTAAAAAATGTTTTTCCAATGGTTTTGCAGGATGATGAAAAGAAATCTTGGGATTTGTCTGTTGAGCGCAAAAGCTTTTTGATATTCGCTGAGGCCTAACGACACGAACTGTAAGTTGCGCTTATGTACTTATTGTGAGTGAAGGAATTATTTCTTCTGAAGGCGAGCTTTTTCTTGTCTCAAAGCCGAGCGATGGTTTTGTTTGTGACGAGACAACCTCATGGATCTCCTTCCTGCCATGCGTGTGCATATGATGATGGAACGATTGATTTCTCATTACTTACAACAGAGAAATTGTTCATCAAAGGCTCATCATGTCTATTAAGTTAAATTTCTCAATTATAAAATGTACAAATTTGTTAAAAGATGTCCAAACAAGGTTTTTTAATTTATTGACAAAATCGACCAATAATTGTAATGATGTAATGAACACCTACATCATTCACTATGTCATTAAAAGGTTTTTTAATGTTTATAATACCAGCAATAAAAAGACGTCAGGGGGTGGCCACAACGGTTTAGGCGTTGACACGGCGCTCATCAATGTAAGGTAAAGGTCCCGGTTTCGAATCCAGCGGCCCTGCATTCGAACCCGACATATTTTTACAAATGGGCTTTTTTTTAAAACACCGGCACCCTTCGGGTTGATTGAATCCTCTGCTGTTGCGAACCCTCATAAAAAAAAGACTTTGTATCTCTGATAATCCTGGACTGTCTACTCTTGCTTATTTTTTCTCTTTCTTTTTTAAAATTATGCATCAATTATATCCTTGCTCTAAAGTAAACGTAATAACACAACGCAACTGATGGCTAAAACTAAGGTGATTTTTTCAGCATAACATGTAAAGCTATTGAATTGATGATTGGCTAAAGCGTTATTTACATTGTGTCATTTTTGATGATCATTCGAAGTGAATCATCTTTGATCAGTTATGTATTTTCACTGCTCAATGTTTCTCGTTTTGCGTCTGTTTTCCCTTTTTGTGTAAAAAGTTTATTGAAACGGATCTCCTCAGAAATGGTGTATGGAAAGAAAAGAAAAACAAAATTTAAAAAAGCAAAATCCTTCTAATATTAAAAAAAATAAACATACAGAAAATATATACATTTGTCACATTTCAATTTATTTCATGATTAGGCCTAGAGTAGAATGAGAAGGAAGGCTGACTATTACTCTGAGGCAATTACATCATTTTTATTTGAGTTATTATGGTTTTGCAAACTATAATAACGACGAGCATTAAAAAATTAGTGAAATTCATTAACAATGTATTCGTAGGGAGATTAAAAAAAAGAAAGGTAGTTGTTACTATTTTATTTATTTACAAATAACAGTGTTCCTAGTTATTAGTGTATTGTTGTCAATCGAGATCCTGTGATGAATCGGATGCGGGGGCTTGGAGCCGTGAAGACTGCTGTGAAGGGGGAGGAGATAATTGTTTAGCGTGTGCAGGAGAATAAGCTCTGAGGTATGGGTGGAGGCGTGGGGTACTTCAGGAGAGCACTGGCGGTAAAAATTGAGGATGTTGGTACTGAAAAAAAGGGAGAAGGCTGTGGACCTGAGTAGGTGGTATATATGGATAATTTCGAAAAAAATCTTTTCAAATCAAACTTCAAATTAATTCTGTTCATTTTTTGAAACGCTATGTAGACAATATTTTATGCATATGGTCGGGAACATTAGAGGATCTCGAAGAATTCCTCAAACTAATTAATCCTTAAAAGCCCAAGGTGTGATTTTTACCTAAAATATTGATGAAGTCTTTATGAATTAATTGTATAATATCGAGCCATTTATCAATTTATTAAATAATGTAAGATGCCACCCACCTTCAGAGGTACCTTGGTCTTTGTTTATCTCAACACCAGTACCTCTACAGGGTCCTTTGTTCAATGGCTAATACTCAATCCAGGACTTGTCAGGCAGAAATAAATTACTCTTTTTTAATTTATTTTATTGTTTTTAGATTTTATTGTTTTCAGCTAAATGAAAATCTTGAAAACAATTTTGGTGTAAAAACAGACATAATCTGATATTACACTTCTCACACTGCACGCTAGTTTTTCCTACGTGACAAAAACGGCATTTTCCTCTTGATGAAAATGTAGGCCAGTGGTTCGACTATCTTTTCGAACAGCAGAACATGGGACTTTGGAAACTTTTCCCGAAACCGTCCTTAGTTTAATTTTCGTAATTGGGGTTTTCATCTTTCTATCTCTTCGCACCCTCCCAAAGAGGAGAAGAGAATCAACCTCCGCCAATCTAAACTTTTTAAAACGAAGCTCGTCAATTTCTTTGTTACTGTCTGCATTTCTTGGACAACCAAACAACAATCTAAACAGTGGAGGAACCAAGCATTAGGCAGGCTCAGGTCAATTTAATCTCTATACACATTTTACATTTTTTACATTTTCGTACACAACATTTCACATCGGAAGTAAACTCCAATGAAGTCCGGTTATAACGATATTGAAGGGACCAGGCACAATTGATCGTTACACCCGGAATGAGAGGAGGGAGGAAAAAAACAGTTCTATAGCTTATAGTTTTATATATTATTTACTTTTAAATATGTATGTACGTAAGTACATACCTAATTCAATTTTTACAAGTTAAAAAATGCGTAATATGTATTATTATAATTATACAATAAAATAAAATTAAAGGAATAACTAATAATCGTAATTATGTAATTGCTATTTATGTACATACATACTTACCTTCTTTATTTTTTGACAAAAAATCTGAAATTTTAGTTTGCTTGTTTTTTTTTTATACAAATTTTTGCTCACATATTTGTCTAGTTTTTTATTTAAGGAAGCTGCAGTTTCAGGTTTATTTATGTCATCATTTAGGGCGACGTATGTCCGAATGACACCAAGAGCGCTGTAAACTTTTGATAGAGTCGGAGTAAGGAAAATATCATCATCAGTCTCGTCGATATCATCTTCAATTTTATTCTTATTTAAAAGACGCCACGATTGATTCTTCGGTCGGTTCCTCTGATGTAAGGATGTTAGCATCGACTTCTGCGTATGACTGTGTAACCCCGGGATCCTGGAAGAGTGATTCAGGGCTAAATGAGTCGCGCTAATTTCTAAGGCTATTTTATTCGACACTAGGCGATTTACAATTAAGCGTCTTCTTACGAGCTACTTATAGGTAATTAAGTCGGCAAAAGGGGCAGCTGGATAGAATTACTAGGGTCTTAATAATAAATGATTGTCGCCACAACTCTTATCAACACAGGCACTCACCGATTATTACTGCCACGATGAGAGTCCACCACATCACACAAATCTTTATTTAGAACTGTTCTCTCTGGCTGCTCCGCGTCTACTGACCCCTATTGTTTCCGTTCACCCGAGGCCGGGTTGCTGACATAGCACCTAGGTCCCCCTTTTGCCGACACTGTTTCTTATTATTCTACTTACAATTATTAAATCTACTTAAACCAAGATTTGATTCATTTTAAATTTATAAATTTTTCCCATCACCGGTTACAATTCACTCCCCTCCGTTTGAAGTGGTTGCTTCCCTTTGGAACAACCACTCCTATACTATTATGTCTAACACTATACACTACTCCACCTCACCACTGTTCCACTCGATGACCTCTTCCAAGGTTGGTGTTGCTCTTGGTGCGGCCATCTTTTCTATGGCCGGCACTCTTACCGCCCTCCCGCGACTTCTCCACCACCAGGCTGCAACTCCGACCGATAGCAGCAGTACGCCGATAGAGCTTGCACCCATCCCCATAATCAGGGTACGTCTCCTAGTCCGGCGCACCTCGCTGTTCGCTCGTAATAGGGCTTCGAGCTCTGCTTCCCATGCCCCGTGTCGTCCTCTTGATACATCTCCATCCTGTAAGAGCGTTGCCTCCGCCTCCTTCCATCCTTTGTCGCTGGGTTCCGCAACTGGAGTAGCGTACCGCATCAATGGCATAGGTGTCCACTGTACTACCCTTTTCTCCAGGTCCATTGATAGGTTGTTACTGCTGGTGGGCAAGAAGTAGGAGTCCGGTGTTCGTAGCGTACATCCTTCAGCTGCTGCCACCTTGCCCACGCCCTGCACCTCCATCTCCGTTACGGTAACATTTCCCTTGAGATCACATTCTGAGGTCAGCCTCGTTGGCGCCGGGACGCTGTAGAACCAAGCCTCCTGTTCTTCGCTCCAGGCCCAAACAGGTTGGTACGTTCCGAGCACGGTCCTCCAAGAACACAACGGGAAAGCTTTGCTTATTTCCCCTAAGAGCAGCAATGTCAGGCAGCATGGCCTATGGCGGGATACGAGCGGCCATCGGGCAGGGCAAACGACAGGTTTCTTCCCTTTGCAGAAGCGCAGCTCTTCCCCTCGGATCTGGACGAAGTGCTGGTGGTCTATCGCTGCCAGGAGGTAGTCTGCCTCTGGTTGGAGCGATAGGATTACTCCGGTAACAGGATCCCGAACAGGTAGAGTTATCACGCGTAGCAGGCGGAGCCTTCTTTCCATGGAGGCCAATGGCAGGTCGACTATCACCTGCAAGCAGTCTTGTGTGGAGGTGGCATGGACCTCGGCGACATCATAGTAAGGATACATGTCTGCGGCGGAAGTACCTGTAATCAATCGGAGCTGCAGCGGCAACATAATCGCTACTTTTGACAATATTTGACTTAATTCTATAGGGGACAACAGGGTGCTATCCAGCCTTCCCCGTGCCAGGGACAATACCGCTTGATGAAGTGACCGTAGTTCTATTTTCGCTCTAACCGTCCCTAACTCTAAGCCCCTAAGTACGTTTGATGAGTTCATGTACAAGAACAGGAGTTCGTCTTGAATCGCAACCAGGTTCGTCAAGTTGGCTACTTTCGCAATGACCTCACCCATGGCCTGCGACCATCTCGACATCATCCTGTTCAGCTGAGCACTCGACTCTTCCACTCTCTCACTTAGCTGTCGGGTCAGGGAGATATGATCGTGGTTGATATGGACTAGGTCTCGATTCTCGCGGTCTAGCACATTTAGCGCTTGTTGAGTTTCGGCTAGGTCGTCCGCGTCAGGGTTCCCGAATAGTATTTTAATAACTTTACCTCCCACGTCAACTAAACCTCTTCGCGTTCGCGTCGGGGGCAGAAGGTCCTTTAGAAAGTGGCTCTCGACTTGCATTTCTTCTACCATCCTGTTCAGTTGACCTAGTTCCCCAAGGTACGACTTCAACAGAGACGTGATGCCGGGAGTTTCTGTAAGTCGTTCTTGGACTTGTCGCACTTGGTCCTGCAATGTTGATACCTCCTCCTCGATTTTCGTTACATTCAGTACCGTGACGATTCTCCATCTCTCTCCCGTTAGGATGACCTCGCCCTCGTCCTCGAAAATTACACCATCCCGCGCCCAGTGGTCCGGCTCTCCCATACCTCCTGCAACAATTAATCGGAACTTATTAACTGGATTCTGCGGCGAGGCCTGAGTTGGATCGGTGACCGAGTTCTTATTTTCAAAAACCTTGGGAATACAAAAAGTAACATCTAAAAGCGCATAGTTTTTAATAGTA